TAAGTGTGATGCCTGTAATCATGTAATAGGAATTCAGTTTTGTTGAAAGGATTGCTTGACCTCTTTCAATCTTTATTGTTGATGTAGGAGTTGATTGCCATTGAATTGTGGAGGGTCCTTTTCAATGTCTTGGGCTAAAGGTGAGGATCAGTTGATTCTTGCTTTTTCTTTATTTGGATTGTTTGGTCAACTTGTAGAATAGTCCATCAAGTTTGGTTTCACTTGTGGTCTGCTAAGCGGATGATTATGGAGGGACGATCTGTATGAAGAACTATGGAAGAACAAGAGGGGAGAGTTTTAAAACGCCTATTTTCTCCTTGTGAGATGGAGATGCCTCTGTTAATTTGCCTTTAAAATTGAAGTTGCCTTCATATCTATCTTGGTGCTATAAGAACGTGGTAAGATAAGTTTAACATCCATACTTTCACTGACAAGATGAAGCCTCCACTTTTATTTATTAGTTTATAGTTTAGTGATTGCAATTCTGCCTTCATGTGTATATATTCTGGTGCCGTTGATTTTCCATTTTTCACTGTGTTCACGGATTTCATCCTGACAAGTATTTTAGTTTAATGAGGATGCTCTGGAACCCACATATTATGAGGTCATGCCTGAGAGGAGAGCTCTGTTGTCAGGAGAAGGGAGGCCTATCTAGGATCAAAGTACTTCCAATAAATGTGATATGAATGGATGGTTTCTACGTAGTTGGATGAGTATGATTTGCATTTTGGATATAGGTCCAGCGTGTGTGTGTGTGTATATATATGAAGCTTTTTGAAAATGTGATAACTTTTAAGAACGAATGGATGGTTTCTATATAGTTGGATGAGTATAATTTGTCTTTTTCTTTTTCTCTGTGTGTTAGTGGCTGAGGATGATTTTGTCTCTCTGCAATTAGCTGTCTTTGTAGTTGTCTATTATCTGCATCATTGACGAGTATCTCCCTCTGTGCCTAAGTGATATTAATCTGAATGAAACCAGAGACCCATTGGAAATTCATACACTATTATTATTACCACAATTCCTAATGCCCATTTTTCCCTTCTGGATGAGCATGTTTTGTTTTTCTTTTTATCTCCAAGTTAGTGCCACGCATGACGGTTTGAATGTATGAGACCAATGAGTAAGTTAAGTTTTCTCATTTGCCATGAACTGAACCATACTTGTGCAGAGATTTTGATACACAATTCAAGAAGTTCTGACATTCTTATGCATGTTACTCCTTCTGCTGCAAAGTGATGCCAATCAAGACAAAATCAAATATCCTTTGGAAAATCAATGAACATTACTTGCATGACAGTTAATGTCAGACTTGCTATTCGGTATGCTTGATCTTCCGAAATTTCTTTATTTTATTGCATGATGATTGATGATCTATCCAATGGTAATAATGAAAGAATTAACTACTCCTATGTATCTCAGTGTCGCCATTCAAATAAAAACAAGACAAGTGTGGATATTCTTTGCCAATTAATGTCATGACAATTTATTTATTTTTATTTAGTTATTTTTTTCCTTCTTAAGTGATTATTGTCCTTTGCTCATCCTATATGTGCTGGTATGATAATATTACTAGAACGAGTATTATATTTTATCCTGTTATGTGATCCGCAATATTGGTTTACCAAAATATCGGGTAATAGTAACTAGTGGATGTATTTTTGAAGGATTTAACCATTGGTTTTGGATATTCCAAGCCGCGGCAAATCATTATTTCAGCATGGGCCACTTCTGTAATAGCTGTTAGGGTAGGGATTTCGTGAGGGATTCTTGCAATGATGGAAGTGGGATTTCGGCTGCATGCCTTTTTATTTCAATATGCACTTTGTGCAGAGATTTCACTTGCGATTTTGTTTTGCAGCATTTTTGGTTTTTTTCCATCTCTTCATGCTGTAATTGTTAAATCTTGGATTTACTAATTATCAGATTTATACTGAAGCTATTATCCGCCTCCTCATATTGTGTTCTTATCGAGGAGAGATGATGACTATAGAATTGTGATGGATATCCCCTATATTTTTGGACTGGATTCGGCCAACCAGGATCTATTGGCTGAGTATTTATAATCTTTTACAGGATCGACATATGTCCTAACTCTGACTTGTCATTTGTTTCTGCAGCTTTATGTTATTTCTGATGGAGTTCGTATGGCAAGCGTTTTGGTTTTCTAGAAACATAGATTTCAAAAACAAAAATTTAAACGATCCCTCATTTAATGCACATACAAATGAAACAGGATTGCTCAGTATCTTTTCATTGTTTCACTCATCTTGGTAATTAAATTTGTAATTCAAGTTATAATATTGGGCATATTAAATCGAAATAAAAGACATCTAATGTCTTGAATGGACGTGGATCCTTCTAATAATAGTCATTTACCTTTTTGTATGAAAAAGAAGAGAGTTTTCAATTAATTACTCTTTTATTTGCAATTACCATGAACAAAAATTAAGAACAATGATTATGCTATATTGGTTTATATATCTGTTGGAGTCAGCATTTATACGGTACCTGGCCAATTATATGATGTATCTTTTATGGGAAAAAGTACTGAATGCTCGAACGTACGGAAAATAGAGCGTATTGAAAATGGCGTCATGGCGCTTTGATTTTTTTCTTCTTTTTAATAATGAAAAATATTCTTTGTTAATTAAAAAAAATAAAATGTTGATAAGCTATTCTTAACATTTGGTTTGAAGAGAACGCAGTGATTAAGAGGACAATGAGGAACATAATGATAGTTGGAGATCCGTTTGGAACCTCTCCTTTTTCCTTCCCATCTTTTTTTTTTTTTTCTTTTTTTAATTGCTAGGTTAACATGTTTCAACGGTTTAAATTTTAATATTTTTTATAAACTATTTATAAATTTTTAAAAAATATTTAGTTCACTTGCAAATTATTAGAATTAAATTTTAATATAGTTTGTAATTTATTATTTATTTATTTTTATAATTTAATATTTTCATAATAATTTTAGAAAGATTTAAATTTAAATCGTTAAAATATTAATCTAATGACAAAAAAAAAGAAGGAAAAGGCTAGGAATAGGAAGAGAAAAGGAGAGGTTCCTTGGAGGTGGGATTAACGTTACTGTTATTTTGAGGTGGCAAGAATTACCACTTTTCGTTTTACTATTTCTGGCAAGTCTTATATTACATAGCCTAAAAACCTTTTTGAAGAGTACACAGTGACAAAAAGTTAATATTAACATTAATATTTATATTAATAATAATATTGGTCAGTTATTCATAAAGTTTGGTTTGATTTGGTATCTTAACAAATGCTATCTTTTGATTATGATTTATATGTTGTAAAACTAAAGAAAGAATAGACAATAAGAGAAAAGAATTAGAAAGAAGAGAAGATATAAGTATTTTTTTATTCCATTTAAGGTGCTGAATACATGATACATAACCTCTATTTATAAACACAATTTTATATCTTTGACAGAATTTACAGATTATATAATAATAGAATATAATTATTTGACATAGAAATAATAGAAGATATTAGAGATGATAGGAGATATAGAAGAAATATGAACATCTACAAATATATTGTTACATAAAAATATTTAATATTTATAGTATTTTTTATGAAATCCATGATTATTTTATATTTATTTTTTAAAATTATAATAATTTTATAATTTTTCATTAATTATTTTTATGAATTATTGATTTTTTTTAATGATGTTATGATTATTTTGTAATATTATAGCATTTTTTATTGACTAATATTATATTGAATTATAATTACAGCATTTTTTATTTAATGATATTATATTCTTTTATTAAGGACAACATGGTAATATTGTACAACTTATTTTTATCTAACCAAACATAAAATTTTTCATTAACTCATTTTTTTCACTTCAGTACTTGCCAAATATATTATCTTTCAAATTTTTTTTATTCCATTTCATTTCTTTCCTTTTTACTCCAAGTAATTCTTTCTACCAAACCGGTCCATAGAAAGAACGTCCAATATTTAATTCTATCAAGGAGGAAGGGGTTGGCATGCATGTGTGTTAATATCAAGGATTTTCTCTTCCTCCTTCTCCCATTTTCTTCTGTTCTGTTTTCCCCTCTTCACTTTCATATTCTTTCTTTACCGTCTAATTTAGTGATCTCTGCCAAACCGCTTTGATTCTCAATTTAAATCTGGCCGCACACTTCAAAGTCGGTTGTAAACGGCTTAAGCCGAATTAACTCCTCAAACAACCAAAGTTACAAGCCAAGTTGGCAAAGTGTCCGTCCGGACGATGATTAGAAGTTTCAGATTACTGATAACAATGTGAAATTAATTTTTTAATATCTTTGGAAAGGAAAATAATCATTTGATATAAAATATCACTTCAAATTTTTTTGACCAGATTCTTTCTAGTTCAAATTCAAAATATAAGATAAATTCTATCCAATTACATTTATAAAAAAATTAGTTAAAATTAATTTAAAATAATAAATATATAAGACATGTATTTTTTTAAATATATCCTTATTAAAGAAAAAAATGAATAAAAGATACAATAAATAAATTAAAAAAAGAAAACACATGTTAGGTGTAAACTTAGGAAAAAAACTTGTTAAATTTTTTTAAAAATAAATATTATTTTATAAAAAAAATAAGTCCCTCTAATAAAGTTTATTTTATATTTTGAACTGAAAGGAATATAATATAATAATCGATAAGATATATGGTTAATTAAATTTTTAATTACACGTGATTATTTCAATATTTAAAATAAATATAATTTAAAAATTTGAAATAAACGTCTGATAGAATTTAATTTTTCTCTGAGGTATTAATTTATAATTTTTTTTATGGTATACATTTTTTTATCTTATTAATTATTATATTATGAAATTTTATTACAGCGATGATAATATCCGATTTTGTCGCTCGTCGTCTGTCTCCGTCTCAGCACTCCAACGTCAATTTGAAGTCGTTTCTTGGGGCCGAAGGGAGGCGGGCGGGAGAGAAGCCGACTCATCAACCTCCCTCCGCCGCCGATCTTGCTGGGGGGGCCAACTTAGCTAGATTTTTCCCAAGCTAACTTCGTCGAACAAGTAGCCAGGTTCAGTACGCCCTAACACTCAACTAAGCATGAGCAGTAGATGTTCGATTAAAATGTAGCTCAAGAACTTGCATGTGGAAAACCCATACAATGCTAAGCTATTTTGTTATTGCAGAAGCTCCTTCTACTAGCATCCTGACTAATTTTTTATCATCTCTAATCCTTCGTATTAAAATATTTGTGCAATCTGCTTGAATCCGCAATTTATTATATATAATCCTATTTTCACGGTGCCGAAGGGCAGTGAAGCCGAATCCATCAACTTCTCTCTGCCACCGATTATGCGAGAGAGTGAAGAATGATGAAAATGGGTTCAGTGACTATCTTTCCACTGGACACCCATACTTATATTATACTATTTGTATCAGAGTACAAATCTTAAGCATAAGTTACTATACAACTAAGCTTTACAGCTGGCATACTACTGGAATACAACTTGTATCTGTTACAACTAATTACATAACAACCCACGTGCTTAATTCTAACATCCCCCCTCAAGTGAAGGCAGGTGTGAAGCTGATGCCGAGCTTGGTTCTGAGAGTCCAGAATCTTGAATGAGGCAGAGCCTTTGTCATGCAGTCGGCTATCTGGTCATCAGAAGGAACATGACCAATAACAACTCTTTTAGCTAAAACTTGATCTCGAATGAAGTGAGCATCCAGTTCAATATGTTTGGTTCTTGCATGATACACAGGATTACTGGCTAATGCCTGTGCACTGGTGTTATCACACCAAATTTGAGGAACTCTTGTTAATGGAAACTGCAACTCATGAAGTAAGGATTGAAGCCACAACAATTCACTTGCTAAATCAGTGAGAGCCCTATATTCAGACTCTGTACTGGACCTGGATACAGCTCTTTGTTTTCTTGAATTCCATGATACAAGAGAATTTCCAAAGAATACACAATAGCCACTAACTGATTTTCTATCATCTGGACATGCTGCCCAATCTGCATCAGAGTAGCCTATAAAATTCAAGTCTTTACTAGGTTTAATACAGAGACCAAGAGTTGCAGTTCCTTTTAGATGTCTAAGCAGCCTTTTTACTGCTTGCCAATGCGCAGAAGTTGGGCAATGCAGAAACTGACTTAATCGATTCACAGCAAAGGAAATGTCTGGCCGAGTTTGTGTAACATATTGCAATGCACCAATTGCACTTCTATACTTAGTGGGATCAGTCAATGGATCTCCTTCATAAGCAGACAAGGATTTTCTAGAAATCATGGGTGTAGGACAAGGAGCACAAGTCAACATTCCATATCTTTTCAGCACATCAGAGATATACTTAGTCTGACTGAGAACCATACTGTTTGAAGTTCTTTTTACCTCAATGCCAAGAAAATAGTGTAGACCACCCATGTCTTTTAAGGCAAACTTGGCGTTCAGTTCTTTGATAAATCCTTTAATTTTTATAGGATCATTACCAGTCACTATGATATCATCCACATACACCAATACTAGCAGTATGATTCCTGACTTCTTGAACCAGAAAAGTGAAGTATCACACTTTGTATTTTCAAAACCCCAGCTTAATAGAGTGTTTTTCAGCTTGTCAAACCAAGCCCTGGGGGCTTGCCGTAGACCATACAAGGCTTTCTCAAGTTTACATATATGATTGGGCTTCACTGGATCAACAAACCCTTCAGGCTGTCTCATATATACTGTCTCTGCCAGAGTACCATTAAGAAACGCATTATTAATGTCCAGTTGATTCACACACCAGCCTTTAGACATTGCAATAGTAAGAATCAATCGGATTGTAGAAGCTTTGACTACTGGACTAAAGGTTTCATAATAATCTATACCAGGACTTTGCTGAAAACCTTTTGCCACCAATCTGGATTTCCTCTTAGAAAGTTTTCCATCTGAATGAAACTTGTTCCTGAAAACCCACTTACACTCAACTATACTTTCTCTACCAGTAGGAGGAACAAGAACCCAAGTGTTGTTTCTGACTAAAGCATCAAACTCCTCTTTCATTGAAGCTTTCCACTCAGGTTTCTTCAAGGCTTCAGGTACTGAAGAGGGTTCAGGCTCTATCTCCAGTACTTGTTTTGCCACTCCTACAAAGGGGTGCTTTGGTTTGAAAATTCCAGCTTTGCTCCTTGTCATCATTGTATGAACATTTTGTTGCTGCAAGAGTGCTTCATTAGAAGATGAATTTGATTCAGATTCATGTGAAGAAGACTCAGGATTTTCCTGAGATGAGGACACTGGTGCCGGCACTTCACTCTCATAAGAAGGCATAACATTGATTGAATTCTCTCCTTGATCAACTACATGTTGCTGCTGTGACTGCCCCTGAGGTAGAGAAATATTAGGTAGCATAAAAAATGAAGCGTCAACAACAATATTGTTTTCTGTCTGCTTAGTATTCAGAAAACCAGCCTTAAATGGAAAATCAAGCTCATTGAACACAACATGTCTAGAAATAAAAATTCTTCCGGTAGAGCTCAGGCACTTATAACCTTTGTGATCACTACTATAACCCAAGAACACACACTTTACTGTATGATACTGTAACTTATGTGTATTGTAAGGACGAAGGCAAGGAAAACATGCACTGCCAAATACTTTTAGAAAATTCAGATCAGGAACAGTCTGATATAGAGTTTCATAAGGTGATTTTCCACTTAATACTTCGGTTGGCATCCTGTTTATCAGATAAACACTGCATTGAAACGCTTCATACCAATAGTGCAGAGGCATAGATGCTTGTGCTAGAAGACTAAGCCCAGTTTCTACTATGTGGCGATGTTTCCTCTCTGCACGGCCATTCTGATTTGATGTATGTGGACATGAATGCCTGAATTCTATGCCATGTTCAATCATTAAACCAGTAAAGCTTCGAAATTCTCCTCCCCAGTCACTCTGAATGGTCTTAATTTTTTCTTTCAAATTTATTTTCAACCAACTGCTTAAACTGAACAAAAGCACTTAATGCCTCTGATTTCTGCCTCAATGGATATAACCAAGTAAATCTACTGTGATCATCAACAAAATGTATATAATATTTAAATCCAGAAGTGCTAGCAATGGGTGCAGGACCCCACAAGTCTGTGTGGATTAGATCTAACACATTTGAAGCTTTACTATCAGATCGATGAAATGGCAATAAATGTGACTTTCCATATTGACATGCATCACAGAAAACAAAATCAATTTTATTGATCTTGATATTGCAAGAGGACAAAGCTTTATTCATTACAGACAGAGTAGGATGCCCTAGTCTCATATGCCACATTTGAGCTAGACTGTCCTTATAATTCTTTTCTTGTATGGTTAAAGCAGTTGGTACTTTTATAGCTTTGTCTGAATACTTGTTTACTGTTCCTGCCATTTCATAGCCTCCTTCTTTACGAACCCCTTTCTGCAGAACTTCCTTGGTGTCCTGATCCTTCACATAACAACCATGTCTATCAAACTTAACAGAGACATTATTATCGGTTGTGAGCTGAACAACACTTAATAAATTGTGTTGTGATCCAGGAACATACAATACATTATTTAGACTGAGTGACTGAGAAGAGCATGGTAAAGAAGAAGATCCAGTTCCTAGAATGGGCATTTTAGAACCATCAAAACCAATCATAGATCTCTTACCATTCATATTTACTGGATCTTGAATGAGTGTAGGAGTATTCACCACATGATTCGTTGCTCCACTATCAACAAGCCAAGTAGGATCTGCGACCATTTGAGGTGTAGCATAATATGCTGCTGGTTGAGATAAGGAAGCTCCAATGTTTGTGTTCTGCTGACTATGCAGCCTCACATTTCGATCAAAACGAAAATAGCAATCTGAAGCGATATGACCAGTTCTACCACAGACTTGACATACTGGTCGCTGATTTCTTGATCCTCTGCCTCGTCCTCTGTTTCCACGTATACCTCGATAAGAAGATCCTCCGCGATCACGAAGATTGTTTTCTGTACGAGCAACATTAGCGGAGGGAGCTATGGAAAGATTAGCCATATTCCTATAAAGATCCAATCTACGCTCAAACATAAGTAATTCAGCTTGTAAATTGATCCATGTAAGATCAGTTCTACCAGACAAAGTGCAAACTACAGAGTTATATTCCAGATCTAAGCCAGATAAGGTGATAGTAATGAGCTCATCATTTGCAACTGGAGCTCCAGCAAGACTAAGTTGATCAGCAAGAGAACGGACTCTGTTCAAATAGTCCTCCATAGTCATTGAATTCTTTCTAATGCGTTGAAGCTCCGATCGATGCATCACTACTTTAGACCGAGTATTTGCTCCAATCAGATCTCGAATGGTTTTCCAGAGTTCATGTGACGTCCGGTAGTGAACCAGCTTACTCCCTATCTCCGGCGTCATGCTGGCTAATAACCAACCAAAAATGGCTTGATCATGCGCAATCCACTCCTCATATAATGGATTGATTTTGGACTCGTCGTCTGTGAGCCACTGCGACGGACATGGCTTTGTACCAGTAACATAGCCATCAAGTCTTTGACCTCGAAGATGAGAAAAAATCATCGCCTGCCAATAGAGAAAATTGTTCCCATCCAGCTTGATAGGAGAAGGTTGAGTAACAGCATTAGAAGAGGAAGAGGAAGATGATGAAGAAGAAAGAAAAGTCGAAGGTTTCGGAAGAGAAGAAGAGATGAAAGTAGTGCTCAGGATCGGGGAACTCGCCATGAGAGAGAAAATTGTTTTTGGCTCTGATACCAAGTGAAGAATGATGAAAATGGGTTCAGTGACTATCTTTCCACTGGACACCCGTACTTATATTATACTGTTTGTATCAGAGTACAAATCTTAAGCATAAGTTACTATACAACTAAGCTTTACAGCTGGCATACTACTGGAATACAACTTGTATCTGTTACAACTAATTACATAACAACCCACGTGCTTAATTCTAACAGAGAGGGCAAATGAGCTGGAATTTTGCCAAGCTAGCTTGGTCGGACACGCTTTATTCATGCTAGCCACGTTCAGTATGCCCAAACCCCCAATTAAGCACGAGAAGTAGAGAGCGTATGGATAAAATGTAGCTCAATAACTTGCATGTGGAAGGACTATACGGTGCTAAACTTTTTTTTTTTAAATTGCGGAAGCTCCTTTCACTGGCGTTCTGCCCAATTTTTTATCATCTCTAATAGTGTTTGTACTCAACTATTTGTGCAATCTGCTTGAATACGCAATTCATAATATGTAGCCGAAGCAATATGTAAAACACTGTGACATGTGAATGTGTTTTTAACTCTGTTTTATCTAAGCATGTATATTGTCTCCGCATGATTCTAATTGTTTTCAAAGAGGAGCATTATGTGATGACCGTGTTTACTACAAACTTGCTGCAACTTCAAAAAAGTTAGAAGTTGTTTTCTTTTGTAGGTATCTTTGTCTCTCAAGTGATTCTACTTTTTAATTTTGTGTTAAATACAACTGCAACTAATTTCTTTTTATTTTAGATTTTCCTCTCTGTACTTAAATGCATGGTCAAGTAATGAATGCTCACTATTACATGGTCAAGCAATGTTTCTCCCTCCATTTTCTATCATGGTTGTTTGAGAGTAATAGGAACCGAAGGAGAAAAGATATGAAATAGTGCTGTTCATCTCAACTGAAGTATTCCTTCATTTCTTTACTTTCTTGACTCTTCATTCTTTTGTGTGCCTTTAGACCACCCATGCCTGAGATGTTGGACCCTGAGGCAAATTCAGTTGCCAAACTTATCAGACGAGCTGTTATCATTGGGGATGGTGTTACCGAGGCTGAGGACATGAGCATTGGTTTGGTTCGTGCTCTAGGTTTCTCCAATCGCCATACCATATATGTAAGTTTTTGATTTAATACTGGTAGATCTAATGCCTTAGGGATTATTTAACCTCAGTTATGTTTGATTTATGCAGCATGTTAGGAGGCCTGTCCAAGAAAACAAAAACTGGTTTCTTCGGCTGCCATTTTTGATCAACATGAAATTATATGGCCTCATGAGGGGATTGTTTGGGCGACTTCTAATGCATACACCGTCTACTAACACTGGTAATGCTTGCCGATCACTTTTAAAATTTTTGTTCCTTTATGCTAAAGGGTGATGCAATATGCCATATGTCCTTTAAAAAAAAAGTTCTTTTACAAAAAGTTAGCTAGAGAAGCACTCTCTTGGGAAGTGTGTTAGTCTACTGTCATTACCCTTTGCGGGGGCTTCTATCAAGCGTCCCCTTTGTTGCCCATTGGAGCGGAGGTTTAGAAAGTGATTCTGCACCATTATCTTTTGTGGCGGGGCAGATTGCGAGTTTATGCGGTACTGCTCGAGACTAGTGATCTTAATTGATGGAATAGTGCATTATTGTAGCCCTTGTTTGCAAGTATGAGATAATGCCAAGTGCTAAGGACACAAAGAACACAAAGAAAGTTAAGATTAGAGACAAAGCACCTGAAGCAACAAGTATGGAGATAGAAAGCCAAGAACATATCACTGAAGTTAACCAAGACCTGACATCAGTGCAAGAACAACTTTTCCAAGATGAGGCACTGGAAGCACTGGAGGATGACGCCTCAGACCCTGAGGTAAATGCAGAGCCCACCTTGATAGAGGATGAGAGGTAAATTGAAACTCTGACAGTAATCTCCTTTAAGGACAGACTGGTCTGCGATCAAGGTAAGACAACTAATGGCCCAAGCCCGCAATAAAGGAGCTGAACATTGAGCAAGGGGATGTGTCTATTTATATGGAAGTTTTGGTTCCCACTATTACGTTCTTGAAGCGAGTCAAGGATCTCATAGTCAAATGCATGAAGCTTGCGGTGGTAGTAAAGCTTCTTGGGCTCTATGTGTGGCAAGACACTTTCTATGCCAAACTCATGAGTATGTGGAAGCCATCTAGATGCCTCAAATTTACAGAGTTAGAAAGTAGTTGCTATGTGTTCAAGTTTCAAAATGATACGGATTATCAGCATGCCATGCTAGGTGGATTGTGGGTTAAGAGTGCACCTGTGGGAACCCACCCTCTCACCACAAAATTTGGAGATTAAGTAGGTTTTTGGTTGGACCCGACTTCCTAGGCTACCCTATCATTGTTATCGTAAGCATGTGCTCAGAGCCACTAGAAGTGTGATAGGTGAAGTGCTGAAGATAGGCTGCAATACAGAAGGTCTAGATAAAGCTTGTTTTGCTTGTCTTGATGTTAAGATAGACCTCACGAAGCTGCTTGTGTTAGTAAGCAAACTTGATGGTTACCCTTTGTAAAATATGAAGGCCTTCCTACTATTTGCTGCCATTGCAGATGTTATGGGCATCTTGAGGCCTCTTGTCCCTTGAAGCTGCAATAGCAAGCTTTGGTCAAGGCCACGTCAAGTGATCCAACGACTACCTCCCCCGACACAGTGCAAGCTCCGTCAATGGTAGAAACCTCAACGTGAGTTAAGAGAGCATGGAGACCAATTGTTTGGTTCTCAGATGACGATGCGGTCGCGATCATAGAGAAATGGTTGAACTAATAAAAAGGAGATTGGCAACAAGAACCATAAAAATGATAATGGGGGAAGCAGATTCAGTTTGTTATCTTTCTCAGACAATGGTCCTAAACTCGAAGAAGGAAACTTGAGGTCAGATGCTTATCAGGACAAGGCTCCTATGTACCATTCTACAAACTCTAAAGGCAATGTGAAAATGGATATGGGAAGTTAATGGCAACTAGGAATAAAAAAACTGACAAGGCCATGCCTCCTAAAGCAAACCCTCGGCATCTTCAGAAACCTTCTTCAATTCCCCTGCCTATAAAGAAACAAAACTACTTAGGACCCTACCTGTTGGTTATCTTGGAAGACACCTATAGAGCCTTGACTCCAGTTGAAAGAAAAAAAGGAAGAACCCTGTTGGATCCCCTTATGCTCTACTTACCTCCCTCATAAGGCCTGATAAGGAAAGCCTCACTTGTAAGCCACCTGATAGAAGCCCTTCTAAAGGAGGCTTCAAGAAACAGCCTACAATCGAGGTTTGAAACTTCCGGCCCAAATTTAAAGATGCAATTGGGATGCCCTCTAAAGAGCTTACCAAAGCTCTTATGAAGCTCTAGGCATCTCTCTACCTTCGGATAAGGAGCTAATATACAAGCAAGCATTGAGCTCGAATTTGATGATGAATGGCCTTAGAACGCTCCAATATAGAGCGTTGAACTACCCTTTGTCATGGAGAATTCATTTTTAGCAAGGAACAAAAAATTGGACCTGGAACTAAACCAGCCAAGGTAGTGGGTCAAGAGTCATTGGTTAGACCATGGTCGAACTAGGGTCAAACCGGTCATAATAAAATAATAAAATTTAATTCACAACATTAAAGTGGAACAAAATTCATAAATAATAATTACTAAAAAAAAGGATGAGAAGCCATAAAAGTAGTTTAAATATTTAACAGTACTAAGCAAACATTAATGAAATGTATATCTTCGCTATGGACAATCAAAATATATATATGTCCTGAATTTTCAAATCATAAAATATCATATTGATTATTAATCAATAGTTTTTTCCTGACCAGAACATTACCAATCAATACTTCAAACATATCTAGGATCAATTTAAGCTCAAGAGTGTTATGATGTTATTAGAGGTTCTTCATTTTAAGCTCAAGAGTATTCACACTTTGTATATCCGGTATCAACTTAAGCCAATCTCCAACAGAAACAAAATCTATATTATTTCAGCAAATTCATCAACTACTTTCCTCTCCTACTTCAACTTCAAGTGTTTAGAAATCAAAATAAAATTTTCATCTCCTTCCTTCCCAAACCTTTCGTTTGACAGCCAAAGAGAAAGAAGGAACAGAGGCACAATCTAGCTGAAAGGGAAAATTTTTTAGCTTACCCACAACTTAATGCACCGAAGGGACAATGCTGAGTGGGATTTGAGGGAAACCTGCGAGCTGCGACTTTCGATTCTGCCTTCTGCGAACTGCCGAACTGCAAATAGAGAGTGGTGAAGGCTAAGTAGGATGTGCTCATGTTGAGGGAGACTTGTGAGCTTATACGATTGAGGTAGACCAGAGATCAAACTTGCGACGATTGCGATGAGGTTGAGGGAGACCGAAGATCAGACTTGCGATAACTGCGATTTCGGAGCTCTGTCGGAGACCGTCGTGCCGTTAGTGATGCTAGAGAGTAGGGATTTTAGAGGAGGTCGTGCCGTCAAGGAGCTAGGGAGGGAGTTGCTCGAGCCAGAGGAATCAGATTCAGGGGAGGGAAATGGGAGGAATTTGACGGGAAAGAAAAGGAAGAAGGATTTTTATTTTTAAAATTAAACGACGTCGTTTTGACAGACAAAAAAAAAAAGAACTGGGCAACCCAACAAACTGGGATTACCCGGTTCTATACAGGTTTGATTGGTCCCCGGTCTAACTACTAAACCAGACTAGACTGCAAGCCAGTTCACCGGTTTTCTGGTTGAACTGCCTGGTCCTGTCCTTTTTTTCCCTTGATTTTTAGTCTAGAATTGCCAAAATGCAATGACGACACAATTTCATAAAGCCCTCTATGGATGTAGGTTGAATTTAGCTTGTCTTGTAGAACCACCTATACTAGGGATCAAGGCTGACCAAAGTAATTAAGAAAGTTGGCTACCCCTACTCTCATAGAGTGGAAGCGACTAGGTTTTTAGGCGGAGCATAGATCTTATGGCTTGATACTGTTCAGGTGCAAATAATTTCCAATCACAAACCTGTTCATCCACAACATTGTTAGCGATCCATCTGAAGGTTATTCCATATGCTTTATGGTGATATATGGAAGCCACAACCTTATTATTAGATGCAAATTATGGGCTGATCTTAAGCTACTTATCGAGTGACCCTTGACTTCTTGCCAAGGATTTCAATGCTACACTAAGTGTGGGTGATCGACGTGGGGGATCTCTGGTTGGGGTGAGAATGTAGAACATTCTAGAATTTTCTCCATAAAGTAGGTTTGTTGGACTTGTTCTTAAGACCCAGACATGTGGCAATGAGGAGATTTCATGGTTTAATTGTATCGGGCTTTGGGCATGAATTAAACCCGATTCTAATTCTCAAAGACTCCAACTCCCCAAAATCCAAAGCGATCACAGTCCAATCCTTATTAAGAAACTTAGGCTGTCTCAAGTAGGCAATAAGCCTTTCCGGTTTCTCATATGGGTCATGTATCCCTCCTTCAAGGACTTAGTCAACACAGCCCAAAGCAATGAATAGAGCCTTTTTACCAACATCACAAAGTTCACCAAACAAGCCTAATAATGGAACACTGAAATCTTTGGGTCAGTGGGCCTTAGTGAGAAGCGTCTACAAGCTCAAATTTTGCGTGTTTAACGATAACTAAAATGATAGCCCGTTTACTCTTATTTTCTCAATCTAGAATGTGATCTCATAGCAGAATGTGAATATATCTGCCTGAGAAAGGAAATTCTATGGCTTCAACAATCACGAAGCAAGTGGACATTCATATTGGGGAGGAATATAATTGATAACAATCAGGGATCGCAACACACTATTATCAAGAGATTGCGACAACCACCTATTTGACATGTATCCATTAAAATCCCTTGGTGCTAATGGCCTCTACGCATTATTTTTTCAATCATAGTAGGATCTAGTTGGAGGCTCAACATTCATAGAAGTCAAATCTTTTTTTTTTTTAAGAATGCAATCTACACCTAAGCTTCAATTGAAGCTTAATATCCCTTATTACCAAGATCATTGCCAACTGGCTTAAATCTGTGATGCCACTTCTTGCACTTCTTTATCAGGCAAGTTTCATTAAGGGGAGGAATATGACTAATGACATCATTATTGCCCATCATTCAGTGAGAAAGAAATCAGGGAAAGCAGGTTGGATGGCAATTAACCTTGAAAAAGCTCTGATGGGACTTCATTGAGGATACCCTGATAGAAGCATGAGTTTTTGACTTGTTAAGCTTATTATGAAATGTATAAGCACTCCAACCATATAGGTTCTCTAGAATGGTACTCCATCCAAGGAGTTTTCAGCCACAAACAAGAATTAGGCAACGGTCATTCGAAACCCTTTAAAATGGGCAAAGAGGTCCCTCTTTATCCCACTTGTTTTTTTGTTGATGATTTATCCTATTTGGCACTACATCAAGGATTCAAATATAGCTGTTAAAGAAGTTGCTGAATGAGTTTTGCCTTTCCTTAGGGCACAAAGTTAGTAATGAGAAAACAAGAGTCAATTTTTCCAAAAATGTCAGCCATCAAGAGGTCAATCGAGCATGCAGCCAGCTAGGATTTCATAGAACTAGCCATTTGGGGCGCTACCTGTGAGTTTTGTTGCTTCACGAAATGCTATTACTTTTAGGCTAGAAAATGTGCAAGCCTAATGTCTTGTGAATGAGGCTCTTACTCTAACTATTAATAAAGAAGAGCAAAAGAACCTTATGATAGTTTGCACCTAGGATATGTTATTGGCTTTTCTTGCTTGTTTTGTAAATATCTATCGCCCAATTTTATTTGAAGTACTACATTTTGTTTTTACTCAAAAAAAAAAATTATGACTATTTTGGGTCCATCCAACCCTCCAGAAGCTTCAAGTGCATCAAACGATTCACAAGCTTCAAGTTCATCAAATGATTCACAAGCTTCAAGTTCATCTGTCCTCGAGGAAGCTGATGCTCACAAGATTGCAAAGAATGCTCGCGAAGCGTTTATAGAGTATGTCATCTTCTTTTTGTTTTTGTCCTTAATACTTCTTTAGAAATGAGATAATTATCATTATCCTTTTTTTCATTCTCTTCCTAGGGATGGCCCTCTGCTGGTGGTTGCATCTGGGCAGGATATTGTTAGTGTTGCTAGCTCTATTAAGAAGCTAGCCCCAGACAATGTTTTTGTTGTTCAGGTTAGACTTCTCTCATTCTTTTTGGTTCCTCAAGCATAGCATATATAAATGTTATAGTTATTGAAAGGCACGTGTCATGTCACCTTTCTAACACTCAGGTAACTATTTCAGATACAACATCCTCGATGCAGCTTCAATATGTTTGATCTTGTGATCATTCATCAGGATGATTACTGTTACCCTTCGTCTCTGCCGAGGTGGTTCACTCGACACAAACCCGTTCCACCCAATGTGGTAGGTTCTATGGGTGTATTGTAGTTACAGAAATGGGTTGGCTCTTGTCTAATTTCTTTAGAATTGTTCTATTTTTTGGCTTGCTACTAAGAAGCTTATTTTTCCCTAGTGTCTTATTGAGGGAGTACTCCATCAAGCTGATCCAGCCAATCGTAGGGAAGCTGCGATTCTCCTGCACCCTAGGTTTCAAGATTTACGGCTGCCTTGTCTAGTGGTCAATATTGGCAGACCTACGAGTAAGTCATATTACATCAAGAAACTTTTAGGGCATAATATTTGTTTAAATTGTTGAAAATTGATTTAAACATGTTTGCATGCGCTTTAAAAACACAAACCTACATATAACTTCCCCCATCACAATCTGCCTCCTGTGTAAAAGATCGAGGGTAATCAAGAACACAGAAGTTTTCAAGAAGCCTATGGGAGGGTTTAGCTAATTGGGAATTGATTTCCTATACACATGACAAAAAATAACCTGTCAATCCATGTGCATTAGTAACTTGTCATCGTCAACCAAGTCTTTAAATGGATAGTTCATAGTACAACCGCTAGCTAGATTGATTGGCTCCATACAATCTGAGTAAATGCAAATCTTCCTAAAACCCTTAGACCAGGAAAGATTAAGACCATTTATCATGCCAGTTAACTCAACTATGGTTGGTGGTACAGTTGTAAGCTTACAGGTGAAACCACTGATCCATCAATCTTCATTATCATGAATAGCCCTATCTCAGATGTTGCTACGATTCCTTAAGATCGACTCATCCACCTCCAATTTTGTAAAGCTCGCATCAAAAGTAGAGGTTCGTTTTCTTGTTTAACTGTAACTGTGTAGAAATCGCAATTCCTTGGCAAGTCCTGGTCTGTACAGGCTCTGAAGAAATTGGTAGTTGCACTCTTCCTGTCTGCTAACGCCACAAAATATTCTGTGATTCTTCCCTGCTTCATGCGTGAGATTCCATTTCACCCATTCCACTCCTTGTAGAGTCAAGGAGGTGTTCCATTTGTATGCATCAACCATAGATTTCCAGCAGTCAATGGCAAAAGAGCAGTCCCTTAGCAAATGCATTTGATCTTCGCTATGTCCACATCTGGGGGGCATGCCTTTAAGGCATTAATTCCTCTTTGTTTCTACCTGTAGTTGAGCAGTATGCATCCATCCATGAAAGATTTGATTTTTTTCTGGTAGTGTACATGTCTAGAGGGTCTTCCATAGGTTATCTCCCCTTCTTTGTTTACTTGCAAACAGAAAATGATAGGCAGATTTGACAGAGAGAGAGCCATCAGTGGATGGCTTCTAATAAAATTTGTCTTCTCCTTACTTCTCAGTGATGGGTGTGCACAGAGAATCTAATCAATCATGTGTTGCGAAACCGTATCTTCAATTTGCTTCTATTCCACTCTCCCTTGGGTTTCACATAATCAATGATCCTTTCAATGCCATTAATCCATTCTTCATATTTAGGGATTAACTTCACAAGAGGCATGTTTATTTCGGACCAATTATCAAACCAAAATGAAGAAGCCCCATTGCCATTTCCTTGACTTTTTCTTTGTTTCATCTTAAGAAGACTTCTGCTTTTCTGTTCAATCTCATTGATGAGGCATTTTGGCAAAAGAGTAGTTTGCATGTGATAAAACAGAAGTGTTATAAACACAGCTTTAATTAACATGGCTCTCCTAGCAAAGCTAAGACAATTGCATTTCCAACTGGAAAGCCGCTTCTGAGTTTTCCTCAAGAGGGAAGGAAAAGTAACATGAAGAACTCATTCATGGATGAGGTGAATGCCTAAGCACTTGCCTAAATCCTGGTCGATCCTACTCCATTTTTCTACTCAAGTCTAGGGCTCTTGTAATATGAACATTCTTCAAAAAAAAACAGATCTTTGTTTTGTTCTTGTTCATGCTTTGGCTCAAGTCTCCCTTGCTTCAAGAATTTTGTACAACCTCACCCAATCCTTCTCCAAGCATCTATGTAGCTTGGTGGCGAAGAAGAGGCTTTGACTTCTTGTTAGTGACTTTGGGTTGGCACTTAACAAACAAAGGTCTATGATCAGATCTAAACTTGCTCAAATGATGAACCTTAACAAGAGAATACAAGTTATCTTACTCAACATCAGCAAAAGCCCAGTCAATCCTCTCCTTTGTGTCTCTTCCTTCCCAAGTGAACATATTGCCTCTTGTTTCCATTTCAATCAGTTGAGCCCGATGGATGCAATTTCTAAACAAATACGTGGATCTAAAATTAGGCGTAGCTCTTCTCCTTTTATCCTCACTTGATAAATAAGTGTTGGAATCCCTAATGACAAGTCAAAGTCCTGACAAATTCTGGCTAAAGAGAACTACTTGGATGAAGAATGCCAACGGGTTGTAAGAAGAATACCACTTGATTCATTATACACACAAGTAAGCCAGAACTGCTCAGATGAATTCAGAATTTGAACTTGAAGATGAAGCATTTGAGTAGAAGAAGAAACATACTTAATCAGAATATCTTCCTCTTGCCACAGAACCTAAATCCCACCTGAATAACCTGTTGCCTTTAGTTTGATCCAACGATTAAAGCCCAACTTTCTAACTACTGTATCAGCTTTCACTCTACTTGCACGAGTTTCTACCAATATTGGAATGCTGACATTTCTATCCCTAGTCAAATATCTAACTTTTCCTGGAAAATATTTAGAAGCCAGTACTAGCTTTCAGAATGTTGGCTCCATTACACCTTTTTTATCATCATCTCAAGCAAGCCTGTCAATTGCATACCAACAATCCTGAACGTCAGAGAGCTCTCTATATTGCACTGTAAGACTCGTCCAAGTAGTGATATTAGGAGCCTTTTTGCAACTATTCGTCATCTCTTCCTCCTGCTCATTGTGGTTATAATCACAGTTTGGTTCGTGTGGCTTAATGTTAGTCTGTCTTGCTTAGGTCGAGATGATTTTCTTTTTAGTGCGAATGAAACTATTTTAGGCCTAGTAGCTTGGGTACATTTTTTGCTTTCTACTTTCTTTTTCTCTTTTCCTCTCTCTGTTGTCGGCCTTATCATCTCTTGGCGTAGGCCTGTGTTTTGATCCACTCGGGTTTTGTCTTTTGATTCTGCACTAAAAATAGCAATAGCCTTAGGTTGCCTCACTTTCCCAACCATTTTTGGCAAATTTTTCTTATCTTTGCTGCCAATGTCATATAGTCTTTTAACTTTTCCTCTTTGCTCCCTTCGTTTGCTTCCAGGAACTTTCTTTTCTGTCTACACAAACCTTTTCCAAGCTCTCCCTCATTACTAGTATTATCTTTCCCATCTTTCTTCACCATTCTTTGGTAGGAGCCTTGTTCTTGCTAAATTGTGCAGACTTAGCTGACTCGGCAGGTATTTCTAATTCTTGTAGGACATTGTACATCAATTTAGGTGCAGATATCTGATCTTTTCCGATATGTATGCTGCTAGATGCTACTTTCCTCTGCTGCGTCCTTTCCTTCTCTATCTTAGGCAACCTTGATTTGAACGTTTTGGTTGCTTTCATCCTGGCTCTATACGACTCCTCAGAATTAATGCTGGGCATACTAAAAAAGGAATGTTTCTCTCTCTTCCTCTGTTTGAACGCATTTGGTATGGAAGTTGTTTCGACCCCTTTCATCACGTTTAGAGGGCAGTCCTCCTGACTGTGGCCATAGAGACCACACTTGAAATAGATGGCATTAAGGCCTTCATATTGCATGGTGTAAATCTTTTATCTGATTACAAAACGAGACTGAAGTTTCTTATTCAAGTCCATTTCTACACTCAGCCTAGTAAACTCCCACATGCTCGTGTTACAATATGGATTGAAGTTAGGAATCCATCTTTGAACAGCTAGATAATGTCCCTAAATCAGCCAAGGACAATCAAACATCAGCTTTCTACAAAGGGCTTTGTCTTTGATCGGAAAACATAATAATTCTTTGGCAAGTCAGTTTGTTCGAAGTTCCCATTCTTGAACAGCCAGGAAATCTCGTCCTTTATCATTCTCAAATTTTAGTTTTTTCCCAGAACACTAATAATGAGTGCATCCTTCCATGGTCTATGTAGCTCCTCTAACCTGTTATCAGTCATGCTCAGCTTCAGCAATGTTTCCATCAAATTCTTTTCTTCTTCAGTGAGACATGAGGTTGTTTCTTCCTCTTCTTGTAACCATTCATTCTATTGGTCATAACAAATCTTAGAGTTTGCTCTTGTAGGAGATTTGGGTCTTACGACCCTCCTTAACATTCTTGTGCTTTTGAGGCTCCTTCGAAAGTGACATAGGTTGCTCTGGGCCCCTCATCTGCTCATCTCTATTTCCTCCTTCCCTTCCCGACGTAGAAGGTTCGTTTTTTATAGGAGTATCTTCCTCCATCCCTTTGATATTCTCATCCCTAATCTGTTAGTTTCTGTCGTTGACACATTCTCTCCATCTAGCAGTTCCTTAGCATTGATTGAAGAATTCTGATGTACACGGTTTCTCTCACGTTCCCCCTCTCTCTCTACCCTGATTATCTCCGCGTAAATGATTTATCCCTTGCGTAATGAAGGGATGACAACATAACTTGTAACAGCAGCAATTATGTGCCCTAACCCCATATTTCTGGGTCATTCGGAATTTTCAAATGTGTGTATAAGCCTCAAGTGTGTGCTCTAACCTGTATCAATGATTTGTTTTTTTAAAGGTTAGAATCTTAATTTTGTTTTATATTTGATAAATTGTCCCTTGGTTTCTTTCTTTCTTTCCTTCTTCTTTTTTTTTTAAACTGCTTTTGTTACATTAGTTTGGACATATTTGTTATGTGTGATGTTCTCTCGCAGAAAACTGTCCCTATGGTGAGGACCTCGCAAGCCAGCTGACGCAAAGGCTTCGGAATGTTTATGGCACCTGTGGGAGCATCATTATACATTTTTCAGAAAGAACCCCAAAGAAGGTAGTGAAGATGATGCTATTACTTATTTCAAGTGGTGTGGTCATTTGGCTTCCGCATTTGACAATTTTACTTTCACCCCTTCTTCTGCAAAATTTCTTTATTGATGTAATAACTTTACCTTTTTATTCTTATGGCAGATTTCTAATTTCATAAGAAGTGAATTTAGAGAATATCCTAAGTTCATAATATCAGATGGCAGGGATACGTCTGGTAAGTGCTGGGAAACAACAGAATTCAAAAAGAAATATTTAAGAATCCTACTTAAATATACTTAATAGCCAAAACATGACTAGCATATATATAATGCTAGAATACAACTGAATAAGCATGAAAAGCTGATCCGTAATGCTAAAGACTCAGTAAAACCATAAACATGACGCTAGTGGACTTAGTGATAACAGCTATAATGGCCTGATTTTTCTGCTAATTGACTTGAAAAACAATTAATAATTAAATAAATCTTTCTCAGCAAAGTAAGACTAGTTCAAACTTCAACTTCTTTCCTACCTCTACACCTCGTATAGACTAAGGGAGTTCTATCATTAACATACTCTTGAAAGAACAAGTCATTTTTTTTTCTTTGGGAATACATGTAGAACCAACTCTGCATATGGCACATCTCCATTTGGCTGATGCTTTCGTCATCACGGCAGACTCGATGAAATGGCTGTGTGAGGCCTGTCGCATGGGGTAAGTGCCGAATATTATATTGGCCCCATCTCCTGAAAAGTTATAGTTTAATGATACCTTTTGGTCTCTGACTCACTCTCTTATAACACAGGAAACCCGTGTATGTGATAGGAGCAGAGCGGTGTACATCGAAGCTTGCTAAATTTCAAAACCGTTTGCAGGAGCTAAATGCTGCTCACCCATTTACGGGTGAGGAAAATGTGAGTATTATTGATTGTTTTAGCTTATTGATTCTTTTAGCTCCTCCACTACTGACCAAGGGGTGAGGGGAATTTTCATGGGATATGTTGCCTTTCTGTTTAATGAACTCATATAATTGTTGCCGGCATTTATTCTTGTCTTTTTCTTTCTTCCTTTTCATGGTGTTGATTCGTTGTATGAATTACAGATGGCTGAGGACCGGCTTTTTGGTATACTGCCGGATGTTGTTGGCCGTGCTGGCGGGGAAGTGGTGAGGGCGCTTCGTAAGAAAGGATGGGCAATTTACACATGATGGTCTCCTTAATCTCGCTTAAAAGCCACTTGGTGGTATCTGACTTGGAAGAAAATGGTTTGATAACGATTTGGGTGGCTTATAAAACGCAATGAAGTTTCACACTTTCACAGTACTTGCTAGGTTTTTTTATGACGTTCATGATGGTTCTTGATACTGCATGTTGCAATGTGCAAAATCTATATTTCCATGATTCCAAATAGGACTGAGATTATCACGTCAATATTTCAGTTATCGGGAATATGAATGATTCATAAATGGGTTTCTAATAACACGTTCGAAGTAGAGATCTTACAAGGTTTAGAGCCTTGACACGCCATTTCTTTTGCCAATGTGAAATTAGATTGCGCATTTGCAATTTTGTGCTCATGCACTCATCATAGCCTTGATTAGGGGAAAGTGTGAAAATGATTTTAAACTTCAAACTTCCACCTACTTTGCGAGAGAATTAAAAGTAATACTACCTTCGGTCTTAATTATAAGAGCCAGTTGACTAATTTGAGGAGATTAAGGAAGTAAGTTGAGTTAGTTATTTGTCCTAAATAGGTGTTGTTTTTCTTAAAATATTCTTGCTAATCAAGTATATTAACTAGAATTATAATTATTAGAAGGATTATCTTGGAAAAAATTTAGTAAATATGAGAGATAAAGTAGATTTGGGTCTTATATTTAGGACTAAAATAAAAGTCAAACAAGATTTTATATTAAACACCAGAGGTAGTAAAATACACTCTAATAGATGACATAAACAGAAAAATCAAACAGAACAGCAAATGAGTTATGTTTGATTTGTGGAGAAATACTTCATGCTCCCAAAGCGTCACGTCAGCTAAACTCAAATCAATTAAAAAGCAGTTCTTAAAACCCTTGAAGCTTGCTTTTTTAAGACGTGAAAAATGCCAGGGATGGGAAGCAGTGATGTTGAAGCTCAAAATCTAGAGTCACAAGAGAAGCAGGGCGACCTTGAGAAACCTACAGAATCTAAAGAGAAGGTAGGCTTTGGTGGTAATAATGATCAAGGCGATACCATGGAGGAAGAAGTTGAATATGAAGAAGTCGAGGAGGAGGAGGAAGTGCGAGGGGAAAAGGAAGATGAGGAGGAGGGGTTGGAGGAAGAGACTGAAGGGGCTGGCAATAGAAATGTTGCAGATACCAAGAATGAAGATGAGAAAAAGAAGCATGCCGAGCTTCTTGAACTTCCACCTCATGCGTCAGTGATTACCTTGGCGGCATTCCTCAGGATTTAAGGGACTTCTGTCAATCTGTGGGGGATGTATTTGAGGTAAGATGTACAAAGTTCGCCTAAATTTCTTCCTGATTGTTCATTCAGACTGACGAAATTTAGTGCAGGTTAGGATTATGAGCGGAAAGGAACCTGGCGAAGCGAAAGTTTATGCTTCTGTGACCTTCAAGACAAAGGAGAGGCTTCTAAGGCTATTGAGAAGCTGAACAATTCTGAATTTAAGGCATGTTTCTGGACTCCCCCCCCCCCCCAAAATTTTTTTTGTTTAATATCTCAAGTTTTCTTAGTCACTAATTATTAGGTCTTGGACATGGCTCTCTCTTTTTGTTTTGATTTTTCAATTTCACTTTTTTCTTACCTTATAATGTTTCTTTTTGGCTGACTGCTATTGCATTACTGTTTACTTCTGTGTCTCTTGGAACAACCCTCCGATTTACCTTACTTCTTTTCCACGGAAATGGAATATAATGCCCTGCATCTAAAGAAAAATATTGGTTGTTTATAGGTAACGGACAGAGGAAGATTTGAGGAAGGCTGTTACAGAAATTGGGCCTGGTATCAATTCTGTTGAACTGTTGAAGGTTTTTGACACAATTTCCATTGTATTTTCAATAACTTCCTTCCCCTTGTTGTCACGATTGTGAAGTTTGTGATAGCAGTTTGTGCATTAAGCCATTAACTACAGCGGTTATGCTGTTACAGAAACCAAAAAATTCAGATCGTAACCGTGGATTTGCTTTTATTGAGCATTGCAATCGTGCATGTGCAGAATATTCAAGGCAGAAGATGGCCAACCCAAAATTTAAAAATGAAAGCAATGCTCCGACAGTGAAGTGGGCTGAAACGAATGCTGAATCATCTGCAGCCTGCCAGGTGAGATTTACTTTGTGCTTCATAATTCTAAAATTTATCATGTGATTGCCGTTAGAAATTTCATGCTGAATTTGTTTCTAGGTTGTTTTATGTTACTGCTCCTGTGTTCTTATATCAATATAGATGGTCATATTGAATGGTTCCGCCTCCATTGACATAGATAATTCCGTTTGTTCATGACTTTACCAGAGGTGTACTCATTTTTCTGGTTTAGCAAATTCGTGCATGTTTGTTTCCCTTCCTTTTTTCAATTATGCTGGTTTTGGCCTCTTGCTTGTTGATGAAAAGGCTAAGTCCCCCCCCCCCGGGGTTGTTTTAATGGCCTTCACAAGGAAATTCTTGTCAATTTTAGTGTATCTGTGAACTGAGTTTTACATACTTCAGAAAGCTGTTTGACTGATGGCAGTTGAATGATCCCCGTAAAAGCAGTTTATGTAAAGAATCTGGTGGAAAACATTGCCCGGGATCGCCTTACAGAGTTGTTTGAGCATCATGGAACGATCACAAAAGTGGTACTCCCTCCTGCTAAAGCTGGACACGAAAAGAGCAGAGTTGGTTTTCTTCACTTTGCTGAGAAGTCATCTGCCAGGAAGTCGGGAACGCTCTGGAGGGTACTGAGAAAGAGAAATTCTTGCGTGCACTGGGAGTGCCATGTAATCTGTGATCTGCCCAATTAAATGAAACCAACTCAGATAGGTTCAGTCTCACCTAGCATTACTGGTCAGAGCAAGAAAAGATTGTGGGTCCCACAAAAATTAATACCTAGCAATTTCTCTCTCTTCCTCCCATTTTCACTGCCGACATTGCCCTTCTTTCTTTTCCACCAATACGCCGAAAACCATCCCAAGAAACCCTTCATCCATTAAACCCCATTTCAACAACGTGCCCGTCCCACTGTTTTTTGATCCGGATTGCCCGCAATATATTAAAAACATTTTCCTTATATATACTTATAACATTTATATTAATTAAGTTCATCTCATAAAATGAGCCAAAAAATCTCATAAAATAATAAATACATAGTTATATATATTTTTTGAGTTGAAAAATGATCTCATTACTTAAAATATGTACAGAGAATTATACTTTAAATTATTGAAAATAATTGTTGAATTTTGAGTCAGATAAACTTTCTCATTTTTTTAATTGAATTCACAAACACACATAATATCATTAGTTTTTAATATAATATCAAAGTTAAATAACTAGTTTGTAAATGTTAAAAGAATTAGTTAAGTTAATTGTTTATAATAAATATGTATTAATTTTTTAAAATATTTTTTAATCCATGCATTATAACTATTCCTTCATGAAAATATTCTTATTATGTGCAATTAATAAAAATAAATTAAAAAAATATAATTTTTTTAAAAAATAAATTAAGATTACTAAATTAAATTTCTTATCTAACTCATATTTAGAATTAAAGGTAGTATTTTTGTTTCAAAGATAAACATACACAAAATTATTTATATTTATTAGTTCATTTTTCTTACTTTAGTTGCAGTATTAAATATATATATATATATATATATATTAGATGCAAAAATATATTAAAAAACCTCCCACAATTTTACATTATCATTAAATTTTATTTAAACGCATATCAGATATAAATAAATATTTTAATATATAGTTATGCATCTATTATTTTGTGATGGCCAAAAAGTATTTATTATTTTTTAACTTAATTAATATAAAAATTATAAATAAATAATTCTAATATATTGTGCGTTGGTAAAATAGGTTATAGGGTTCAAGGGATGAAGGCAAAATTTTTAGGGTGATTGTCAGCGATTCAATCAAAGGGAAAGAAGGGCAATATCGGCAGTGAAAATGGGAGGAAGAGAGAGAAATTGCTAGGTATTAATTTTTGTGGGACCCACAATCTTTTCTTGCTCTGACCAGGAATGCCAGGTGAGACTGAACCTATCTGAGTTGGTTTCATTTAATTGGGCAGATCACAGATTACATGGCACTCCCAGTGCACGCAAGAATTTCTCGGCGAACGAGTCAAACAAATAACTAACTTCCGAACACTCTCCCATGCATGTGGTGACAGGTGGCAACTTTAGCATCTTGATAATTACTCCCTCGCTTCCTCTCCTTTTACATTAAGGCCATGTTTGGTAGGAGGGATTGATTTTGATGGAATGGGAATGGTAATAGGATTGGGAATGAGGTTTTTATTTTATGTTTGGTAGGAGGTAATGTGTGGAAGGAATACATGTATTTATTTTATTTATAATAAGATATATAAAATTAAAAGACTATAATACCTCTCGATATCTTAGAGCTTAGGACTCCAACCTTATACACTCCTCTTCTAATAAAAAGGAAACCGCCTAATATATATTGTTTTAAAAATAAATACATTAAATTTTTACTCATTTTACAATAATAAATAAATAAATAATAGATTAAAGAAATGGCTTCCTATCGTATCCCAACAAATTTATATGCAAAAAAATAATAAAAAAAAAAGTCAATGCTTCCTTAAAATTTATCCCGGTGAATTATTAATAATTTCTTAAAATTATAAAATTTTTATTAGAAAAATTTATCACTAGGTCCTTAAAATTAGAATTTTCTTAAAATTTAGTATTGCGTTTTGAAATTAATAATATGTAAGATCAAAAGATAAGAAGCAAATGACAGTTTTTATTATAATTTTCTGTAATATAAGTTCAAGTAAGATAATCCATATATCACTTCAAACAGTTATCAAAATATTCCTATCTGAAACAAAATATTTCAAGTCCGTAACAAAATATTCCTGTCTGAAATAAAATATTTCAAGCCTGTAACAAAATATATATTTTGTCTTAACATTATTGTAATATAGGTATTTGTGTCTTTTATGTGTTTTAGTCCTAGGATTCAAACGCATTACCAAGGAGGAAGGTGGGATTGTATAATCCCACCAATGTAACATTGCTCAATCCTGGTAATCTTTAATTCCTCCCACCAAACGTGACAAAATCGCCCAATCCCTCCTCCAATCCCATGCCCTCCCCTTTAATCCCTCCTACCAAACGTGGCCTAAAAGCATTTAACCAATTTATGGAATCTTAGTTAAAATTAATTAAAAATAATAAATATATAAAAATTATCAGCTGTTTTTC